GTTCATCGCTCTGCTGACCACTTCTCCTTCTCCATATACATGAAGCCTATGCATAGTGGTATGTACATACACTTCTCATGCCATCCTATCCATGTAATGAGAGGTGTTGCCACCTCGCTGTTCCTCCGCATCTGTGAACCCCGGCACCTGGATGGAGAGATCGACTCCCTGCGTTGTTCGTTCTCGAAATTGGGCTTTAATCGTCATGTTCTCGACGTCGCGTTATCTAGGGCACAGTGTACCTTTTACCACGACTCCTATCCTAAAGAGACTCCTCACATGTCCGCCCTCAGCCTACCGTACATTGAGGAGTTCTACTCTCTCCGTCGCTCTCTCAACTGCAGGCTGATCTTTCGCCAGGTAAACGCTCTCCGGCGCAACCTGGTCCACACCAGCCCTCCCTCTTCCTCGAAGGTGGGCATCTATGATGTTCCTTGTGTCTCCCGTGATAAACAATACTTTAGCGAGACAGGCGCCAGTCTCACTAAGCGCCTGTCTCAACATAAGTACGCTATATCCAGGGGACACAACAACAACGCCCTCTTTTGCCATCAATGGGACACAAATCATCAGAATGACTGGTCAGTGGCGCGGATTGTCTTTTCTTCCGCTGATATCCGCGCCCGCAGATTGGTGGAAACCTTCTTAATAAAGCTGCAGCCTATTTCAACTTGAACAGCGGCTTGACGAAGTAACGAATGTCGTTACTTCGTCACGCCTATGTGTATATCTTACTATTTGTATAAACACACACACATAAATAGGTACGTATACACTATATATATATATATATATATATATATATATATATATATATATATATATATATATATGTGTGTGTGTGTGTGTGTGTGTGTGTGTGTGTATACAGTATAAACATATATATGTATATATATATATATATATATATATATATATATATATAGATATAGATGTATATATATGTATATATATATATATATATATGTATGTATGTGTGTGTGTGTGTATGTGTGTGTGTGTGTGTGTGTGTGTGTGTGTGTGTGTACATATATACTTATATACTGTGTATACACACACGCACACGCATATATATAGAGATAGATAGATAAATATAGATACACACATACACGCACACACACACACACACACACACACACACATACACACACACACACATATATATAAGAATATATGTATGTATACAGATATGGAAAAGTGAAATTTAGTGTGCAGGAAACAATTATTATTTTGTATTAAGTCATGTTTTGGAAAGGTCACTTGTGAGCATCTCAGAAAATCAGCCCATTCAGTCACATCTAACACACACGAGTAAATACACATACTAGTTTTACCTTTTGCTTCTGTTCCACAACAAACTTTTTAGAAAAAAAAAATTATCATATTACATATATTACAACTACCGGCCGAAAGGACTAATCTGTTAAAGTAAGCAAACTTGCGGAAACTTAACCTGGTTCTTTCTGGAGGAAGTTAGAGCTCGCTTACGCAGCCTAAAGGGTCGTGTGACCGCCTTTCATCTGGAAGAGACGAAGAAACAATTTAAGAGGTAAAA